TGTGCATGCTTATTCAAAAATTTTATCAAAAGTTGGTTAAAGCCAAATAATATAGTTTTTTCTCCATTAACACTCTTCTTAATCAATGTTGTTTCTTACTTGGAAGTATTTTGGTAGGGTTTTGGAGTCATTTTTCTTGTAATGTCTTTTCCTATCTAATACATTCCTCAATTTCAATATCTTTAAGTCTTGTTCAATCTCAGGCGTCATTTCAGTTGCAGGTAAGTTGAACCAGTTTGGACCAGCTGACTGTTGCCTGGCAACCTACAAACAAACAAAAACAAATCAGAGATAATCAAGATGCTTTAGCGTGGATTTCACTAGAGCATAAGCATAGCATAAGCACAAGCATGAGAATCATATGCGCCAGTGAGAACAGGCTCAACATAAGCATAAGACACTGAGCATGCGCACGAGCGTATCATTTCGGTACCAGGAGTGCTACGCTTATGCCTATGAAGTCACGTTCTCACTGAGCATAAGCATTGAGATAAGCAMAAGAAGATCAAGCCTTGCTCGTTTTTCTTGTGCTCATGCTTATGCTTATTTTGAGGCCGTTCTCACTGGCGCATATGACTCTCGTGCTTCGTGCTTATGCCTATGCTTATGCGCTAGTGAAATCCACGCTTTTCACAGCGCTTTCACAGCTCACTTAAAATTGCTAGACAAAAACTGCTTTTCAATAGTGTGTGCAGACTAGTAAAATCAAATTCAGATATTTACCTTAATTTGTTTCCTTTTTGTCTTTTCTGACACATACASCGGTGGTGCTGTGTGTCGCTTTGCAAAATCTGCTGTAATAACACTCCTTTCCATCAACTGAACGGAAAGAGAACATTTTCAAAAAATAACATGTATAGGTATCAAGATTTCCTATAACATCATTTCACACTGCATTCTATTCCACTTACTGTAGCTGTCCTAAATAAGGACTAAGTTGTTTCACATACTTTTTAYGGTGTATAAATTTTATCTTTATCTTTTTATCTTTATATTTCACAATTACTGTTTCTTTACAAAAAAAACATTGCAGCACAAACTATTTTACCTGTATCCTTCACAAGTTTGTAAGGATTCTTGTGATTGGAGGAATAAAGCAATGCTTATTGTTTCCTYGTTCTTAAACCCTATTGTTTTCTTTTATTGAACAAATAGCTAGTAAACCAATTGGATAAGATCTGAAAAACCTTGAAGGGCTATCCTATTTTACTGCTAGCTTCCTTCATTGTTTTTATAAGTAGAATAATCTCATGGCAGCCTGGTTCATTACTGGCTAATACATAGATTGCATTACATTACAATCTCTGTGGTTTTACATAATGTACAGTTAAATAAAATGCAATAGAAATGGAGGATAATATTATACATGCRCAAGGACATACACAGTTTATCTTCAAGCACTTGAGAAGAGAAACACTCACTACGCTAGTGTTTCTAAGCTTGCTTCTCTTGTGTTTTTCAAATCCCACCGTRTTTATATCAGAGGACAAAGACACACACGCTGTTTTATATTATTTACTTAAAACACATTCAAACTATTATTTCCAAGTTGTGCATGTCTGTTTSAATACACTCATCATGTATTTCTTTATTAATAATATACAAAATTATGGCTTTATTTAATCCCTATTTTATTTATTTCGAATATTTTACTACTTACCTTGTCTAGTTCATCTGTTTTACTATGAGGCTGCTTAAGGTTGGACAATTTATTATCCAAATTAAGGTATAATTCAGGTATTTGTTGATCAGGTAGAAGCTCTGATGCCAGCTTCAGTTGACTGTTGATAAGGCAGTACAGTATATATTGCATTAAATCTCAAGACTGTCCAAAGCACTTAGAAGTAACATGTAAGCAAGCTTCAAATAACATGAATTGTATTTTGCATTTGTAGAAATACATACAGTGGCTTACATATTATTCAAAYCGTCGTTCCTTGAKGGAAAGAATTCCAAGTTGCAAATAACACGTGGGTTTCTCGAACACACAATAACAATGTACAAAGCATGTTGTTGAGATATCAAATCTCATTCATTTGTAACTTACTGTTGAGTGTTATGTAGTGCTGTCATTTCCACTGCTTTGTCGTTTATTGCAATAAAATCATCTTTCGACAAGTCAACGCTTTCAGATTTTTGTCGCAGTTTAGAGACCATAAACTCAAAAGTCTTTGAAACTAGCGAGTCTAGATCCACACTGCTGTCCTTTTCGATGTCATTCTCCTCGTTTTTAGTATCGACTGAGCTTGATTCTTTAGCTTTGAGCCGAGAACTCCTTCTTATTTGAGAAGACATCAGTGTTTAATACCAAAGTATTTTATAATAAAACAGCAATAAAAATAAGATTGTGTGGTCAGCGGACTAAGACACTCCGCTGGATAAAATTTTCGCGGACGCTTTTGATTTGCAGAGTATTCCGGAGCCCGCACCCTTGCCATCCAGCGGAAGTCAATGCGTAAGAGATTCCACTGACATTAGACTCTGCAGAATTCTGCAGAGTATTTCCGCTTTTAAGGCAATCTGGTACCCAGACCCCGCGAGCTTGCGCAGTAAGAGGGAGAGGGGCGCTGGGTACGAGATTACGTTTTCGAGTCACAGGACTCGAAAAATAAATGAATGATACTTCTAATCTCCGYCTCTCTGTCTCATTCCCTTTGTTTCTTTAATTGTGATGCGTACACGTTTCAAGATATTTGTTTCGGGATACCTGTGTAAGGGTGTGGCTAATTATGGTCTGGCTAATATTTAGGTTTGATCATTTTCGTTTTGAATCTATTGGTAGCATCCTTAAAAAGCCAAAAATTAAATAAATTCACGCCGAAATTCGCGTTGTCGAGTTTCGCGATCTCTTTTACGCTGTGTTAATTTTTGATAAAAGTCGTGAAATTTCAAAATGGTGGGAACTAGCGGTGTGTGAGCTGCGTTGGTGTTTCTTTAAGTTATTTGACCTATTTTTACGGTGTCAAATTTATCTTTTTTCACGACCTTTCGTGAAATTTCAAACTATTTCAATTGTGTTCTATACTCACGAATGTCTTGCATTTGCACGAGCTGTCACTGAATAAAAGAATTTACAACAATGGTTAAAGGGTAACAAAGGCGTAAAAATAGATCGCTAAAAGGGTATATAGATRATCATTAAATAACGTCTTTGGGCATGAGAGTCTGCTGTCAGGAGACAACGGTCATCAGACGTAAACTTTAAAGACAACATCTGACCAATCGCAAGCCCAGAGTCTAATGTCAGCGGTATGCTGACGCAATACAGGATTAGTTTTCCGAAAGTTTAAGATATCTTTTCAAGGCCGAACAACTGCAGGTTTTTGTACGATTTAAGAAAATAACCATCACTTATACTTCCAAATATGGTAAGATTACCATATATTGCTGCTAAACAAACATAAATGTCGTTCCTCCAGTCTCTCTTGCACATTGCCTTCCTCCGAAACCCAAAGTGTGTAAACTGTTTTGCCCTTAGTTGAACTGGCGGTGTTTGTTTGTTTGCTATTTATTTCTTCTGGTGTTTTAATAGTGAATTTGTTTTGTTTTGCGCAATCATTTTTAAACTCCAAGGATTTTATTCATCTTCACCTGTCCTAGTCTCCTCTCGCAGCCGTTACGAGGTTCGTTCCCAGGTCTCTCGCACTAAAAGTGACCTGGGAACGAGCCTAGCTGCGAGAGGAGAATAGGCCTGTCTCTACTTGTTTTATTTTCTGTAAGAGTTGTACACCGCTACGCAAGCTAAGCAAGCTTCCCGTATCGCTACATCAATGCATAATTGAGCATGAAAAAATCACATGATAGCTAGATACTAGACTAATCACGCTAATGAATGCACATACAGAACTGTTAATTTGCAAAATGTTTTGCCTACTACAATGAATATCGTGGATGGAGTTCCTGCGATATTAGAACGTCCCAGAAGGCTCTATAAGAACCAAAAGGGAAATCCTAGTATCTTACTTTCTTTTGTCCTTATAACCACTCGGCTATGAATGCACCTTGAAGGAATGCTTTGGTTTGTGAAGGTTATTAACTTCGACACGTG